GATCGCAGAACGAAATGGGCTTTCGTAGGCTGAAGAGTGGCTGTATGGGACAGCCTGAGATGGTTGGTTGATAGCCTGTCGTCGGCACCGTATAGCCTCCCAAAGACTTTGTTTGTCCTGCTCGTGGGCTCGCTTCAGACAAAGGCAGAGGAAAGCATCAATTCGAGCAGGGTTAGCGTAAGTAGTAAGAACGTACGAGAATCCCCCGTTTTACATCTTCAGATCGCTCATACCAGCGTACAATCTCTGGCATCAGTCGAGGATGAAATCCGACATACGTCCATAAAGCAGGTCCGAGGAGGTGTTTCTCGACTATCTTGGATGCTGTGATCTTCAATCTGGGTGATCAAGCTTAGTATACCGTGTGCAAGATTGTCGAGATCCGAGACTCACTCGTAGTACTCGTCGTCATGTAGCGCTGATATGAGGTCGTGTTCCTTGTACACAGTTTCAAGACATCCCAAGGCGTCTTTCAGCTCCGAGAGCGTCACACAGGGGTAGAATAGCTTGCGAAGGTGTTTATAGATGATAAAGAGCAGGCCTTCAAAGTTGTCGAGAAAGAGCAAGTCGAGCCAAAAAAACAACGAGTTGGAGCAGAGGAAATAATTATACGGATTTGGATAAGCAGATATTGAGTCATCACGTCATCACTTATGACAAATAGACTCACCAGCACTGAGCCCCAACCACGTCCAATAATTCGCAACTAGGTCCATGTAGAATGCGTTCTTGAGGTTCCAAAGGTGTTTGGCGCGCTTTAAGAAGTGGGGGGAGGGAAGAAAGGTCTTTGGTTGACAACTTCGGGACGACCTTTGGTTTTGAGGACTGTATTTTTGTATACTTCTGTGCGAAAAAGAATTGACGCCTAACGTTTCAGTGCGCATTCCGGCTCGATATAGTTTGATCACGATGAATTCCCGCACATTCTAGGTCAAAATGTTCATCGACACGCTCTCCGCGGTTGCACTGCCGCTCGGAAATCGTGGGACGGTAAGGGATCAAAATAATCTCCGGGAAATTGTGTTTGACTTTGTGTGGCATTAGCCTTCAGCTTCAGGCGCCAGCCGCTGTAAAGAGAGGATTGTTCTGCTCGCTCGAAGCTATCTTTCACTTTTAAACGGACCTAAATGCGACTTCAACTACGCCCCTCGCGCGAGCACTCGAACACTTGGTGACTCGTCAAGTAGCAAGTACCTATGTGGTTGAACAAAATCAATCGCACCGACCCGGATTACCATCCTGCCTCCAAGTACGACTTCTAATAGGGGTTCTAGTCAGCCCTTGAAAGTTGAATCGAAGTAAGCGGTTGTTCTCTTTAGTTGCCATTCAAACCTCGGGCTAGTACATGCATTAAGATAAGAATCAACCGAGTCACAAGCCGAAATACCTGGCCTAAGGTCTTACAGGTGAACCCTTTTGGAGTTCAATCTGTCTTTCGCGTTAGGCACACAAATCGCGGTCGAGTGCACAATAGAGTGCAGAGGTATACTCATCTTAGACTGTCACGGTGATACCAGTTGAGGTGAGCGGCGAGCGGCATATGAGTAGTTCATATCCGTCCAGGGATTCGGTTGGCTGTTGAATGTTGACGTTGAACTCTTATATATTCTTGTGAATCAGCTTGGGAGGATACCGTAGGCGTACTGCGCAGTCAGTATATCTATTATTCTCCCATTCCATGTCCATAAGCTTCGGCCACCAACCATATATTCCTCCTCCTCGAGCAACTCACAAGTTGGACCTCACAGTCTTCGTACTATCTATACTGCACTCTCGCGGGTTGGGCAGATCTGGCTCGATACTAAATCTCCCATTGCCTGGCTTGTGAAGCAATAGAACCCGCCGCCTACCGTTCTCCGATACGAGTTGATCACAGCCATCCGATTGTTATGAACCTCACGAGATGTTATAACATATACAATTAGGGACGCTCAGAGTTGGTGACGCCAAGGATTATGGACCCGATTTCGGACGGATTTTAATGTTGATTTCCAGGTTGATTTAGCTTAATCTCATGCGACCAAAAGAAGGTGGGCTCGAGCCTCACTGGGGCAGCTGGTCAGATCTAGGAAATTTCACCCCGTGAATCGTGCTTATTTTTTTAATATCGACCAGCTACAATAGTACTTGGGCTCAGGTACGGCACGCACCCAAGAACTAGGGTTTGGTGGATCATGAGTCGTCAAGCACGCGGCTTGACAAAAAAAGAAAAGGAAAAAAGGAGATGGACGATCCGGCCATGCATTAAGAGGGAATCGAACCCCCGGCGGGTCGATACTTCGATACAAAGATCATGGCAACGACCCAGGTTACCACTACCCCATTAATGCTTCTTTAGGTACACGCAATTGTGTGGATGTATAGGTATCGTGGGGGACTTGAATATGGATGGAAATGACGTTTGACAGGCCAGGACTCGGTGAGGATCGGAGCGAAACCTTTATACGTGGTTGTGGGGCGTTAGCAGACGAGGGAACGACAAAAAAGATAAGCTTTCACCGAAAACTCTACCTGCCCCAGTGAGGCTCGAACTCACGACCTTCCGATTGTATTTGCAGTATAGATACTGGAGGACCTGGGCTATAACAGTCGGACGCTGTAACCAACTCAGCCATGGGGCATGTATCGGGTTGGGAATCACATGGCAATATAACAGCCCAAACTAAGGAATGGCGTCATCATCTATTGTTCTGGTTCATTTCCGACTCGCTTCCCTGCACCTGGCCCAGGCTTGTCCACAAACCTCCACCATGACACTCTTGAGTACTAAACATTCCAATTATTCATTCGCGCCAGCCCATTAGCCAAGTCTTACAATCGCTTATCGTGCTCCGCAGCCCCTTTTTGACGCTCGGTATCGTCATCGACAACGGCGGCAAGGGTAACGGTAAACGGGATATGGTCCGATCCGAGAGCTCCGCACTGCATAATGATAATCGTTATGCGGGGCGGCCTTGGACTATTACCATTACCACCACGGCGAGTTCATGAAGACGTCGACAACCTAGAATAACACGAAGATCACGACCAACCTAGAAACTATGGATAGCGCGACTCAGAATGGTATGTTTCTTATTGCTCAGTGCTCTCGGTCGGTCTTGACGGTGTTTGTTTTGAGATACCCAACCGCAAGAGCAAGCTCAGGGATTGAACCCGACGGTAGACTTTATAGCTGGGACTATCGGCGTACGTCGACACGTTTGGGTCTGTTCATTCTCGTTCGTAGGCTGACTTGGAGTTGCTCGTCACTATCTTTATCGCCCACTCTCCAATATCTTATCGCACCGCACCGCAACAACTCGGACGAACATAAACAGGGCGTAGCAGGCCTCGTAGTTGGCTTTCCCTTTGACACCGGTACGTTACGTTCCGTATTTCCCTCACTATATCATCTAACCTCACCTTTGTTAGTCAAAGTACGCCTTCAAACCGCCTCCACCTCCACCCGCACCTCACAATCAACTCTCCACCTAATGCTCTCCATCGCTCGAGAAGACAAACGACTCGGAATATGGGGTCTATTCCGGGGTATATCCTCCCCCATCGCGACCGCTGCACCCTTGAACGGGCTGGTATTCGCTAGTTATCGGTTTTTGTTGGATGTTCAGAGGCCTTCCGGGGAGATACAAACACAAACGGAGTGGACGCCGACGTTGGGACAGATCGCGTTAGCGGGGATGGGGTGTGGTGTTATTAGCTCGTATGTTTCTCGTTCCTCGGTTATTTGGCATACTTAACCTGTCTGTCGTTATCGTTAGAGTGATAACAACCCCGACCGAACTAATCAAGATCCGTCAACAAATGCCTTCCTCCTCCTCCTTTTTCTCTCCCGGTTCGACCTCCACCCTCCCAACAGCAAGAGAAGTAGCAACCGATATATTCAAACGACACGGTATTCGAGGTCTCTATCGCGGTATCACAGCTACCGCGTTACGCGATTTAGGCTACGGATCGTACTTCTTCGCGTACGAAGCTTCGTGTCGGTACCTACCCCCTCTTTGGGGGTCTCTAGGAGCCGGCGTTTTCGGTGCTGGGGAAAACGGGAGGAGGAGAAGTGAGACGGGTGCACTGGTTCATGAGATGGATCATAGAGAAGGAAGCGAAGGAGCTGGGTTGGGTACGCTGTTGGTTGCTGGTGGTGTTGCTGGGATCGGTGAGTCTCCCTCCTTTGCTTCGGGGTTGAGTGTAGGCTAACGTTTGTGTGCGCGGTGTAGCTGGATGGATATTCACGTTCCCGATGGACGTGGTGAAGACGCGTGTGCAGAGTCACGATGGCGGGTATTATCTCTCTACCTCCACCTCCACGGCTGTTGGAACACCGGCGCCGACGGCGATTTCATCTTCCGGGTCGTATGGGCACGGACATCATCTTCCACATCCGCAACCACAGTATCAGTATCAACACCAGCATTCATACCCTTTCGCCTTCTCTCGAGGTCTCCACCAAAGTCCTTCAGCTTCTTCCTTCTCCTCCCCGTCGAGACCTCTAAACCCGTACCGAACGACGCTCTCGACGTTCCTCCATTCATTCCGGACAGAAGGCCACGCGGTGTTTTGGAGAGGGCTGGGAGCTACGTTATTGAGAGCCGTACCAGTGAATATGGCTACGTTTGGGGTGTTTGAAGGCGTTGTTTGGCTCGTTGGGTGAACGTGGTGTGGTTGGAGACTTTGCATACCCTACGCGCATTACTAGGACTGAGGGGTTGTTTGGGTTGTTGGGTGCAATGGTTTAAACGCCGCACCGCACACACACGTTGAAGAGGGGAGGTTGTTGTGCGCCCTCTGCACTTTTCATATCCTCTCGTAGGACCGACGTCTGGCATTTAACACACTACTTAGGATCGGCATCTAGCATTTTCATGTATCTTTATTTATTCATTCATCTCGTCGTGGATATCGCATATTCTACCCCTACGCATCGCATGCTACATTGTACAACCATGATTATATACCGCACTGAAATGTCGATATATACACACCTCAAGGACACAAGTATATCCTGCCCCATGGCTGAGTTGGTTACAGCGTCCGACTGTTATTCTCCAGACCAGGATACTTACAATCGGAAGGTCGTGAGTTCGAGCCTCACTGGGGCAGCTGCGCTACTTGGATTGATAGTTTTTTGCTTGTTATTGCCGGTATGTGGGGGTTCGGTAGTTTGATCACCATTACCCCCCCGACGTCCGCTCCCCTCCACCCCTTCGGTAGGGCCTTGTGGACAAGTCCTCGTGACCCGCCGTGAGGTTTCGTCGGGCTCCACTGAGTTCAGTCAGTCTGAGTCAGCGTATCTCATGCACGAGTCCTCTACGATAAAGATAGGCATCAATGGGGTAGTGGTAACCTGGGTCGTTGCCACGGTTGCAGTGGAAAGTGCTCCTCTTCGACCCGCCGGGGGTTCGATTCCCTCTTGATGCAACGCCCATTTCTCCTGGCTCTAGTTTTCCTTTTTGTGTTCTTCCTCTCTTTCCCTGTTCCTTTGCACGTAATGTCGATTGCTAAACGTCTCGGCTCTCAAGCTCAAGCTTCAAGCACCGTTGTAGCGGTAGTGGGTGTTATCTCTCGTCAGGCGGCAGGCCTCACTTCATCCGTCCATGCACCCCGCGTCATCGATAACAACCACCCCGCCACGAGGTATATGAGCTCAGAAGTGCTGTCTGACAGGAAAGCTGGGATGGCCGAGTCGTTAAGGCGAGTGATTTGAATCGTCTTTGAAGTGTCATCTTATCACTTGGTGTTTCACCGCGTAGGTTCAAATCCTGCTCCCAGCGATGGTTTTTTGTTGTTTTTCTCTGGTCGGGACTCGAGTGAGAGTTTGGCATCTACCGACTTCACCGATGGCATACTTGTTATCTACTCTGCCGATTGGCATTCCTCATATTCGTCGCCGTACATTCTGGTTGTGACGACTGACCATGCAACTTAACCAATGGACCATGCATGATTGGAAACGAGCCCCACAGTCATTTGAGAGTTGCAAGTTTGGTTGTTTCTGTACTCTAGAGGGAGGGGCGCCCTCTGTTCGGCTTTTTTTAGTTCAGGAAGGTCTTGTATGGATGCCTGTTCCCCATTTACAGTGCTTTACAGCGTCCTTTCCTTCATCAGAAACTCACATAGCTACAAAAAGGTCGTGAGTCTGGCAGTTACACGGCAAACCATTGCAAGCTACGTTTTTCTTTCTTCGTGGTATGAGTTCTACGCGGCTTTTGATCTTGCAAGCTGTAGCTGAAGTACCAAATCGTCTAGTTACTGTGCAATGCACGCGTGCACTTGTGAACCCTTGACGTACAGGACTATACACCACGGACTCAGCCCCACTACGGCCCCAACCGACCATCTTGAACTTCTATACCTAAAAAGCTGCTGGGGCTTTTATCCGCCGCCCTTGGTGAACCGACCCACATTTTTTCCCCAAGTCCCGACAGTGGCGTGAAACCAAACAAAAAGGGTGAGCTTGACACTCCGCCGTGGGGTTGAGGCAACGTGCAGTGGTGCTTTATCAGCGGGGAATGCTCACGTTTACAAGGTAGTCAGTTTTTTTCGGCGGGAGAGGGTCGGGGTGGGGGCAAAACCGTGAGTCCTGACCTTACTCTCGAGGAGCGAACGAGCCTGAGGGGTCTAAACGTCAACGATTCGAACCCGATCTAAGAGTCGGAACAGAGTTATATCCGATTAGCTAGTACTGTTAGCTTTGTTTATCGGGGAAGGGTGACTTTCGGATTGTGTTCAGCTCGTGGCAACAAAACTTTGGGACGGGGACCTACCGTCGAGGAGGGTATACTTTAGACCTCAGTGGTCATGAACTTTTGTTTTATTTTAGGCCTCGAAACCACCTTATAGATTCATTCGACAACCACTTACCTCATTAGGCATACGGCTTGACAGTGCAGTCATTTTGGTACAAATTTTATCGGCGGGGAGTCGGGGTCGCAGTGGGGGAAATCGTGAGTGTCGACCTTGCTCTCGGGGAGCGAACGAGCCTGAAGATCTGACTGTCGACGACTTGGTATACGAATCGGAACAAAGCCGTGTCCAATCTTGGACGAACTCCTGTTCGTTCGCCAGGAAGGCTGACTTTTTGATGTATTCGACTCGGTATCTGCCAGAACAGTAGAATAACATCAGGATTCGTGACGCCCTGAAAGACAGGTGAGATATACCGACTAGGCTAGGTTCCGTGATTAACGTTGTGCTTGATACTTACCTACAAACTGGAGAGCTCAACACTAATTTCGGGCGCGGTATCCTTGAGGTACTTATTCTCAGCCCACGGTGCATCCCGTGGGCTCATTCGACTACCTGTATCGAGTCCTTATATCTCATTGGGTACGATGTCTCGATGCTCGCGGCATATCATCCCATAGGTTACCGGGATCAACAACTAGCCTTTGGAAATTGCGCTATCCTCTCTGTATGACACTACCATTCAACTTATACATTGTTGTGGTGTAGTACGCCGTACCTTATGTTGACATAGTCGGCACGCAATAAGAACTATTTTGGGTTGTTATCGGCATCCGTCTGTTACTGAGTTTGCGTGCAAGCCCAATGCTTCAAAATTCGTGTGAGGGGACTCTTCATTTTACTTGACAAATGGTTGCATCGCAGAGAGCGACTTGACTGAAGTTGAGAATAGCCTTCAGATGAATACGTCAGCTTTGTCTGCTCGTCGGTTTTTTCGGCTCACTGCACCATTTTCATGGCTCTCACTATGGAGACGCACTCCGAGTTTTACATTCATCAGAGTGGCGCGTCAGATCGGGAACTGAGATGCGCTCCATAAGATGGCTGCTTCTCCTTGATCACCTCGGTCCTGCTGAAGACGTGGTATGCTCGATGGCCTCATTCAAGGCAAGTCCCACCCGGTTGGCCATTGTTCTAGACTTCACCAGTGAAAGCTTAAATCATGGCCATATGGCTTCAATATACTATATGGTACGCGCCACATGGCAATTTGGGTCTCAGCGTAACTGATGAGCCGCCAGCTCGACATCGGTGGGCCATAGTTGTCAGAAGTCCGAGTGATACGTGTAAGCCCTAGTGACCCCCGATAAATATTTGCCAGCACTCCGTGGGCTTGTGGTTTCTCCATATTTCAAATGTGAGTAGTAATTCATGAACCGTCGGGAGCTACAATCACCTCACGCTTGACACAAGTATCTCAATCGCAAATCAGAGACCAAAATTCTATCAAAGATTTACCGTTTCGTAAGGATCTCCCCGTCTCGGGGGTAGGACAAACACAGTCAATTGAATGGTTACAATCGTGATTGTTATCTTTGTTTTCATCAGGGCTTGGTTTGAAATTTGGAGCCATAACAGTTGAGGCATCTGTCATGAAGTGCCACTTTTCCCCCTATCTTTTCCTTTCTTAGCACCCATTCCCCTTTTAGCGCCTGTTTGTCACTTTGACGCCCATTTGTTACTTTGATGCCTGCCAGATACCCGGTTCCCCTTTCTTCATCATTCCCATCATTTCTTTCCTCATCCTTGTTCTTTCTAGCGTAGCCAACAGTCAGTCTGGTCCGGTTACTGGTCGGTTTAACCGGTTCGGACTTAACCGGATCTCCTTAACCGGTTCGTAGTCAGCGGTTAACCGCTCAAACCGGTTAAGCCACAGTTTTGACCACTTGAAATTCCTCAATGAGCTAGGTATGTCATTTTTTTACTTTTGTGGATGTATGGGGGCTCATTTTGTAGCTGAAGAGCACTGTATCATTATGCAAGTTACTGCTCAGCAAACCACATTGTTGTTGTGGAGATATGGCCGGCACAAGATACCAGGAGGGGTGGGGATGGCAGGTAGCTCTGTTCCTATTCAAACTGGTTTTCCATGTGCTCATTTTACAGCTTATAAACGTCGTATTATGGGCCAATTTACTGCTTGTCAAAAGATGTGTTGCTCATGGAGATATAGAGGGTGCAGGATGGGGGGAGGAGGAAGGGGTAAGCTGGGTGTGTCATTTTTTGACTGTTTTGGACGTATGGAGGCTCATTTCAAAGGTCAAGGATGTCATATTGTGGGGAAGCTTACTGCTAAACAATCTGCATTGTCGTTGTAGAGATATAGCCTGTGCAAGGTACCCAGATGGGTACCCTCACAGGCACACCTGTCAGTTGCCCGCCCATGTGGACCTCCTAATTTAGTCGAATAATTCTACTACTTCTACTACATACATTGAGAATCAATCTAACCTGGTCTGCACAAAAATTCCTGGGGGAAATTTAGCAAGGGGGGAAACTGGTTACAACTGGTTTGACTGGTTTCAAACCGGTTCCGGTAAACTGGTTCCCGGAAAACCAGTTCCCCTAAACTGGTTCACGGCAGTCTGGTTACAAACCGGTCAAACCGCGGTTTTAACTGGACCATTGGCAACACTAGTTCTTTCACATCATCTTCACAACCCATCCTATCCATTGTTTCCAACAGTTACTCATTCCAGACTTGTTCTTATTCCATACCTGGACTACTATTGTTCTTTCCTTGTTCCCTATTATCTTTCTTTATGTAAGGTAATCAAAGAGGGGTCAAATTCAGTTGCACCTCAACTCCAAGATTGCCGTGACAATGTTTAATTCAGGTAACTGGCTACTACTCAGCCTCATCAATAAGTGTTTTCTATATAATATTGACACTAAATGGCAACCTAAAGTCAATTCCCATCACGTTACGGTTCTCAATAACCATCATGTCCTCAGATGGGCTTGAAGCACCTATGGAGCCCTTTCTCTCTGTCCAGATTCTAATTGTACGACTGATTGCTACACTTTTGGTGAGTGAAATCCTGGAGCTTCAATGTGGACTCGAGGACTAATGGCACTATTTAGAGCTTAAGTAGATACAAGTAACGCTGTCGATGTGGTTTGGAACGTCAAGTTTAACACGTATATGGGTTGAATGGCTTACAAGGAGAATTGAGATGGAATTGATGATAAGGTAAGTCGAGTTCAACACTTTGAATGAGACTTACGCAGTTATCAATCGGAAGTTCACGCAGATGTTATTAGTTAGAACAATTTAATTATATTGTTATAACTAGGATCTATGTGGAGGTTAAGGGACGTAGGAAGTGTAGAGGGAAGAGCAAGGTGTAGGTCACAGAAGTAGGTCAAGACACTTTTGGACGACAGGAGAACCTATCAGCGACGGTGACACGAGAGACTGTTAGGGTTGTAGGTAACAGTGAGGGTTGTGTTTGGGTCGAATTCAGTTGTCGAACAAGACCTAAGTTAGCTTGACGGTTGTTAGTTCACACGAAGTAGGTTATTAGTTAGACAATAAGATCTGTTATTGTTCTATCTATGAGACTATGGAGGTGAAGACAGAGATTACAGGTAAGGAGGATATCAGAGAGCAGAGTTTACAGGATGAATGTTCAAAATAACTAGGTTGGGGCTTGATACTCTCGAGCCCCGCT